CTACGAAGTCGACGTTGGAAAAGAAATTTGGACAAGACACATCAACCAGCTACGACCAAACCGCACGCAAACTCAATATCGACAAGAAGCAGAAAATTTCCAGTGGGACATCATGTTGGACATGTTCAGTTTGGATGATGAAAATGTTCGACCTCTCGAATTCTCCCAGAACATGACAGCACCGCATAGTTTACAGCTAAGACCCAGTCGAAAGAGGAAACGACCAAACTGGCTCCAAGTGATCCCAAAGAAGAAAAAGTATGATCAGATTCAAGCAGTCCGGAAACAGTATCAAATTCAAAGAGGAGGTAATACGGCTGCGCATCGGCCTACTGCGCAGCGGAACAATCATGTGGAACAGAGCCGTGCGATTATGCCCCCACGTCGAAATCATGTCCGATTTCATCATGTGCCGGAGAAAGGTCAAATAATGACACAGAATGTTCACCCCCACGCCATGGCCAAGGCATACCGTACACAAGCGCACAGACGGCCATCTACGATCAATCGAGACAAGGGAACAACCGCCCGAGGACCGGTGTGTGTGTGGGAGACACACCGGTTGGTTGACAGCGGATCGACCATCAAATACGGTGACAAGTGAATCATATATGTAGAAGTTTGTAATTGCGTTAATACACAGTTCCCTCAGGTTGTCTTCTTGTCTTGTGACTATAGCCCAGTTGCGTCAGGACAGGTGAAGTGATACAACACTCACAAAGGAGCGTAAACAATTAACGTACATTGTTGGGTCTATTCTCACTGCTACATTTTGCTCAGCAACAAACTCACCAGGGAGTCGGCGAGGGCTGGCGTTAACCATTTCGTCGGTCGAACAGCCTAAACCTCCTTTCCCTGCAGATCGGATCCGCAAAAGTACGAGCGGGAGATGCTNGCCCATACCTAGACAGGACGATCTTTTTTAAAGATGACCTCAATCGTCGGTGGCCAGTCATTTGCATGGGTGTATTTTTCATGCGTGGTTGTTGCGGCTGCTCAGTGGTGTGTGGTTTGGGGTGTAGGATTGGTAAATACGATAGGAACCTCTGTCTTAATCTATATCCCATGCTGTTTGTTGTACACACATTGTTCGCTTCTTTCACTCATTTGTATGTTGTCGCCAGATTATCCATGATTTCCATTTGCGGCCTGTTCTGTTTTTGTCAATAAATGTGGTGGACTCTGTTTGAGGGATAAAGACACCACATAGTTTGGCACTCACAGATGTTCTCTCTTCGTGTTTGTGTGGAGACATTGCGGTCGTCTGCCGCACTGGGACCGGCTCATCTCATCTGTTTCTTGGATGGCATTGCTTTTCAAAATCATGCTCTTGGGAGGGACTGCTGTGTATATTGTCTACAGCATATGTATTGCATTCGTCATTCATGTGTCGCATCCTTATCTACGCTCGTTATTTTCATTCCCTTCGCTCTACCTTCGATATTCGCCGTTGGTCTTTCGAACAGTCGTTATCATGGAGATTGTACGAGGCAGTTCGTCTAGCTGTTTTCTCTTTGGTTTAAAAAAGAGCATAGTTCCGCTCACCAAACCTTGTACTGTCGCTTTGTGGTTTTTGGTCCGGTCTTCGGGCGTTCGTTAGTAAATATAATGAGGGTTGTTACCCCGTCGCCACACTGTTTCTACCTTTCTTTTTCAGCTAAACCGTTCACTTGGTCGCAAACTGCAAATTGACCGGATTGATCCGGGACTGTATGAGGACTGCATGGACTGCTCATTTGGTTCACACTTGCTGGGTTAGATTTATCTCTGGAGAAAACTCGTGATTCAGAAGGATGTTACATCTCTCCCGCGCACGTGACTTTCATGCGTCGTCTAATTCAGTGAACGTATGTTTTCCTTTTTGTCCGTTGAATGTATTGTTTTTCTGAGATCCCATCTTTTCTTCGACTTTTTGCTATCTTTGACTTTTTTTACGCGCTTGATCCTTTTCTAACACAAAATGGACGCATTAATTGTTTTTGTCTTAATAATATATTATTTTTTAGATTGGACGGGCTTTTCATACACAATTTCACTGCCGTAGATTATGTATAAGTTACTACTGGACCTGCCCATTGAAATTTTACATTTTTTCGTCACAAGGAAAGCCCTTTTGGTGGCAGTGTTCTGAACCCAATGAGTCTTTTGACCCCGCATTCACCCCCGCATTCGTTCACTTAGGAAATCGGACAGAACCACCGACTGCCCTTTCTTGATGTGTTAACCAACTGGAACATAGCTGGTCAAAACGGTGTCCCGTGCATTGCAACCCGATAGGGACAGGTCAGTATCCGCCTTTTTGAGTCTTCCCCCACTTCCAAGGTAATATATGATGTTGTTTACTGTCTGTATGACAGCACAACAAAGACCGGCCTGGTTAAAAACGTGAAAAGTCTGTCTCGAAGAACGTATGTTTTCCTTTTTGTCCGTTGAATGTATTGTTTTTCTGAGATCCCATCTTTTCTTCGACTTTTTGCTATCTTTGACTTTTTTTACGCGCTTGATCCTTTTCTAACACAAAATGGACGCATTAATTGTTTTTGTCTTAATAATATATTATTTTTTAGATTGGACGGGCTTTTCATACACAATTTCACTGCCGTAGATTATGTATAAGTTACTACTGGACCTGCCCATTGAAATTTTACATTTTTTCGTCACAAGGAAAGCCCTTTTGGTGGCAGTGTTCTGAACCCAATGAGTCTTTTGACCCCGCATTCACCCCCGCATTCGTTCACTTAGGAAATCGGACAGAACCACCGACTGCCCTTTCTTGATGTGTTAACCAACTGGAACATAGCTGGTCAAAACGGTGTCCCGTGCATTGCAACCCGATAGGGACAGGTCAGTATCCGCCTTTTTGAGCCTTCCCCCACTTCCAAGGTAATATATGATGTTGTTTACTGCCTGTATGACAGGAAAACAAAGACCGGCCTGGTCAAAAACGTGAAAAGTTTGTCTCGAAAGAGTGGTTACCCAGGAAAACTCCTTTCAAAGTATCTGAAATCCAGACCTCCACAGAAAATTGCGCGGAAGACCGCGTGCCTTCCATCCAGGTGCGATCCGATTTGTGAAGGGACAGTGTGATAAGTGCAAAGGACCTTTGTCAACATTTTTAGTACCACATACCAGAATGTTGCCTTCACCAACAGGGGTTGAAGGACAGTTTCTGGCAAGAACACCAAAGTGTCTTTGAAGTTGTTTATTCCTGCAGAGTATTGTTAGTTGTGTATGTCACGGTTGTACGAGGGCTGGGGTACTTCCAAGGCGCCCACACCTAGACAGGAGGACGATTAGGGCCCTAACCAAAACATTTGGCTCAAAAGCCTAACCGCAACGCAGCAGTGTTCGGCTGGAAATGCAAGCATATTACCATTTCTACGGAACACGTCGCCATACATGTTGCAATTCCCAACAGGGCCAGGAGACTGTGTACGTCAGACCTCTATTCATGGACCAACCTAGTATGAGAGACTGAGTGTCACGCGGATACCCCCCAGTATAGCTCAGTGGATCGCTGAGGCGCGCAAACCGACACACTACGGTAAGGTCCAGTCTCTTCGTGACAGACAGGGGCGTATGATTTGTATCAGCATTCTTAAGAACGAGTGTTGTACATGGAACAGTTATTCAACAAATCAATCAACGCAATTCAGTTTATCAGCTATAAACCGTGTTCCATGGGTACGAAAAGAAACGTTCAGCTGTAGCACGCTTTCAGTGCCTAGCTGCCATGCCACCCGAAGGTTGCACGAGGGCTGGGATACTGCCAGGTTGCCCAAGTCTATACAGAGGATGCCGAGAGGCAGAGGTCGGGTTCGAACCACGGATCTTCCGGTCAGTCAATTCGCGCTCTAACCACTTGGGCCATCTCTCCCCCTAGGCACGAAAACTCCAACCAGTAAACAGCTATTCAACGATCTCAGACGACGCGCCAAGCGTATAACCGTTTTACTTCTAGCAATCCTATCACCCATTTGTTTTGATGTTTACTTGCTATTTTGATCGATTACATCCGACTGAGCCAGAAGAAGTGATGTAATGAGGATCACCGCTCATGCGATGGTGTTTTTATGTTGTTTTGCGAACATTTCAGACACTTAGACCCAATCATGACATTCGCATTACGTGTTCAACTATGCAGTGTACTTAACCACACCCATTGCGCAGCACTTTTTAGCACTTCACTCACAGGACGCAATCTAAATTGGAACTTCCACATCTCTTGATAATATCCAGAAACTATAGGTCGTTCAGAAGGGAGAATAATTCAGATGTTGTTTGGACCCACCAAAGAAGTTGTCACCCGATGAGTCAGTCAACAGCCGCACCAGTCAATCACGTGAGAGCTGATCACACAGCTTCCCGGCCGCTCGTGACCGGTTTAGTATTCAACCACTGATCGGATGGTCGCGGGTTGGAAACTCTGAGTTTCGTGAGAATAACTTTCCAACTAAACCGGCCAATTTGACTCCCAGGTTGTTGAAGTCCCAACTACTCTTCGGTTGCAAAAGGGCGGAGAGTTGAACCAGTCCAACCACACAGGACAATACAAACTAAACCCACCACTAGTCAACCACTTATAAATGAGAAACAGTGTTGTTCCCCTGATAGATAACTAGGGTTGGAATATCTCACCTGAACTGCGCACTGTCAATTTTATCGTGAGTGTTCGGAACCGATGCAGTGTAATTTTATGTATATTCGAGTTGCTCATTCGGAACAGATTTCGGATGAGTCCGAACGCACAGAATGGCAGTAGTAGTGCCAGTGAGCTCGGACTGGCTCAGTGGTTAAGCTGAGAACTTACTGGCCAGAAAGTTCTTGGTTTGAACCCTAACATAAGCATCTCAGCTGATTCTGTCTGACTGTCTCATCCCCCTCGTGCTTCCTTGGGGTGGCATGGCAGCTGGGCACTGAGACAGCTGACAGCTAAAACGAGAGAGATTGCTTCTCAATTTTTCCGTATCATCCACTACACATTGCTTTTTTCCACAGACTTTCGTGTTCTCTGTGCAACATGTTCACAAGAGGTCTCTACTCTGGTTTCCGTCCGTTCTTACGATTTTCATTCACCCGAGCACTTCACACTCAGTCATGGGAAACCTTTCTTGTGTCCAAACCCAGTTCACATGTTCTCCACGTTCAAATTAACCGGCCTGAAAAACGAACGCCATGACAAAGTTTTGGAAGTACGTTTGTTCTGGCCGCTCAACTCACCATACGCGTGTGTAGGGTAACAATGCAGCTTTTCAAAGCGATCAAAACGGACAAATCAACCCGCGTTGTTGTGCTTTCTGCACAGGGCGAAATCTTTTCTGCTGGTTTGTATCCCACGTTTCGGTCCATTCTCTTCAGGCATGGATTTAACTGAAATTCCGTCTATTTTCGCCGAGGCACATTCAAATGATGCGGCTCGTTTCGCTTTGGCTCTGCGCCGTGTTGCTGAAGACTTGCAGGAAACGTTCAATTGGTTGGAGAAGGTATGCAATCGATTTTCCCCCCGTACGCTCATGTCGTTTGTTATCAGTGCAACAAACCCGTGATCGCCGCTATTCACGGTGCTTGTGTCGGCGGTGCTGTGGATATGGTATGTGCTGCGGATATCCGGTACGCGTCCGAGGATGCCTGGTTCCAAGTGAAGGTAAGAACTAGCACGGAATTCCTATTGACAGGCTGGTCGGCGGGCTGCTTTTTCTAACCGAACTGGGCCACATAAACACTCCCTCTTCACCGGGGTTCGGACCATGGCTCAAGGGCTTATTGATAACTACGAAAAGTCTCAGTGTCCAACTGCCATACCATCCGGAGTAAACATGAGAGCTGAGATACTGCCAGGTAGCCCAAATCTTGACAGGGAAATTCGAGATGCAGAGGTCGGGTTCGGACCATGGACCTTCAGATCAGTAAATTCGCGCTCTAAACGCTTAACCGGTTGTACTGTCAAGGTGCAGTGGGTGGCTCGAGATGGTTCGGTGGTTGAAGCGCAGACCCGACCCCAGATGCTCTCGAGGCTCTGGCAACCTGGCGGTATCTCAGCCCTCGCGCTTTCTTCAGACACCGAAAGGGTATTACAGCTGAACCAGGGGGGGGGGGAATGCAAGAACTTACTTTATTTTGTCAGTCTCGTATTCGCAAGTGTCACTTAATTCCTAATCATCGGAGCATGGGATTTAGGTTTTGCCTTGAGACGACCATAACGGATTTGATACAACCGACCAGTTTAAATCAAACTTACATCATCATCATCATCATGACATCAGTGTTCGACACCGATGCTTCACTGCCGTAAAACTTACAAGAGCAATAATAAACTGTTGTGGTAGCAGGATGGTTGATTTTTGGGTAGGATTCGAATAAGGCGTGTAAAGTGTTCAGCGGGAAAACGAAGCGATTAGTTCATTTTAC